TGGGCCTGAGGTACGGGGCCAAATAGGGGGAATATAGCAAATTGTTTAAAATCCTTCTTCTTTTGTAGGAATGAAAATTTTTGGTCCATATTTGGTGTGGAGCATCCTTGGGCCAAGGGGACTCAATTTTGTATAAATTGTGGGTGTGGCTTCCCAGAGGCATGTGGGGCAGGGCTCAAAAGGGGAAATATAGCAAATTATGTTTTAAAATCCTTCATCTTCTGTAGGAATAAAAGGATTTGGCCCATATTTGGTGTGGAGCATCCTTGGGTGAAGAGGAACCAATTTTGTATAAACGGTGCTTCTAGCCCCCCAGGGGCATGAGGGGCAGGGACCATGGCCAATAGTGCAAATATAGCAAAATCTTCAGTAGGAATGAAGGGATTTGATACATATTTGGTGGCGAGCATCCTTGGGTGAAGAGGACCTAATCTTGTATAAAAGGTAGTTTTGGCCTCCCAGGTGCCTGAGGGGCTGGGCCCTATAGACGTATCAACATAACTTTTTTCGTGTTATCGCCCTTTGCAAAGCGACGGTGGCGCCCGGAGTAAAGCAACTTCCGGTTTAGGTAGGCGTCTATGGATACAGTAGAAGCGATCGTCGAGTGTTCACCGTCTCCAAGATATAACGCTATCTAATGTAATTTGTGTGTGATATATAATATGTCATTGTAATCATTATATACTTTTTATAACATTTTATACAACTTTTTCGGTATGTTACAGTTATTACACGTATTTTACAACGTAAACAGCAGGCTGTAAGGAGGCAGTACCCAAATCGGATCATTACCCAAATCGGATAACTTTTTGCAAAAGTACTTATAAATAAATAAATGTGTCAACAAATCAGTTATAAAAAATATGTAGTCTTAGAATAGATAGCCATGCACCATTTTTTGTCTACAGATATTTAGTTATTAAGTTCAAATAGCACAAGAAAACGTAATTCAAACTCAAATGTCATTGTTTTTATCACGTTTTTAAAAAAATGGCGCGTGCGACGACTATACATTCGGTTTTGGACTATAGGAATAAATTCACACTTAAGAAATACTTTTTGTCATATAAATTCTAAAGGTCATCATAAAATGTTAATATGCTGACAAAATAAATTCATTTGAAGCGTACGATACTTTAAAATTCAAGCCTTGATCCGATTTGGGTCCTGACATTCGCAAAAACCAGAGACTCTGATTGGTGACTTCGGAGCGTTCTATAAATATATCAAGGGAGCCCCGGGTGCTAATTTCGTTTGTAAGAACACCCATCAATATTCTTCATTTGATACAACCATAAATGAATATTATTCCTCCTCAGATTTTTCAATGTTTTAATACAAAGATGGTTTGGAGATCCGATTGGGGAGATTGACGTTCCTGGTGTCATGACTCTAGATTTATTTATATGGAGAGTTTATTCTCTCAATTTTTTTCTGAAAAAAGGGCTAAGTAAGGAAGGTACCAAATGTGAATTAGCTGCTATTTGTTATACTGCAAACAAAATGAAACTTCCGATAAAGTGGACGTGCGAGTAGATAGTTCTTTAGTTGCAGAACCTCTAAATAGCAGACGCTACCATCGTGGACGTGGTTCTATCCTGGATCCATTATATATTTCCGTGTGACTTTATCTATGTTTATTGCTTTTTGTAGACTAATGAATGAAAAAAACCTTTTAATAAAGTTTAATACTTAAATTACAGTCTTTTTTTCATATGCAGACACGGAAGGTCAAATGTCAATACAAAAATTATGTTAAAATGTTAAAACAGTACTTCATTTAACATAACTGTCCTCTGTAATAAATTGAAACTTTGGTTGTTTAATAGGGCCGTGTGTTTCAGTAAAATTATCTCGATCACGTTTTCACGTCCTGGTTTTTTTTGGCGATTCTTGCGGTGTTCGGTATTGTTAATATGTCATTCATAGAAGTAAAAAAGTCAGTTTTCTAGCACACATGCTTATGGAACTTTTTCACTTGTTAGGTTTGAAGCTTGATGATGTGATTAATTATTTCGAAATTGTTATTTTTCAACCTTTACGGACATCACCCGAGGACTTGGACTTAATATAATTCCGTGGTACATCACAGTGCTGCGTCTGTTGAATTGTATGAAAGTATCTTAACCCTGAATCAAATCGGGAACTTTAGAAGTCCGTGACTAATTTAAGTAAAAAAGACTAAATTATATATTAATTTAAGTAAAAATTAAAACGTATTTATTCTGGTGCAAATGTTTATACATAAAGTAATATAATTGTCAACATAATTGATTATACCATCACAGCAAGTCAGTGAAACAATGCTTATAAAGCAATATCATCTGGGCTGACCGTTTTCAGCTTATACGATCAGAGTCCTGCATAGATGTACACTTTTTAGATTAATTAAGAGCTAAAGACGGGGATTAGTTTGAAGACACTTCACGATCTGTAGAGTTCTATTCACACACGTGTGCCACAGCACAGATAGTAAAAATTCAATTCATCATAAATCGGTAATTTGTTCAAATATTTTGGAATATAGGTACATCCAAGTCACATAAATAACATGTATTTCTGATTTTATTTACTTTATTAAGCATTTTCAATAATTTTGTCTGGCGACGAGTTGTTAACTGAACAGTTTAACGCAAACATGTGCCACGTCGACGATCGTAAAATTCAATTCATCATAACTCAGTAAATATTTCAATTATCCAATTGAAATTTGGTGCATTATAGTGATATAAACAAAACATCTTCTGATGACACTTACTTAGGCTTCATTTGGTATCTTTTAAGATTTTGTCTGGAGACGCTTGTTGTCGGTTGAAGACGCTTAATTTTGAGGGTGACCACAAGAAAGTACAAGGATTTATAGTTGATTGGTTAAGTTATGTGAAGGATGGTTTGTAGAGAAAGAGGGTTTATGCNTTGCCCGAGTATTTACCAATAATTGGATGAGGCAACAATCAAGTACTGTCTATTTAGGTCACAATGTACACCAACTCAGGGATGTGTAGAGGACTACACATCCCTGACCATCTCAAAGAGTAAAGGATACAGACCATTGGGTATGGGTGTGTGTGTGTGTGGCGAAGACATCAGGATGAACAAAACAACAGAGATCTTAATTTTATTTAAAGAATTTCCAAGAACCAAGAATTGCGTTAAAATTAGTCAAAACGACTGAACACGCGGCAGTAATAAAAAAACTAATGTGCACCTAGGGATGACATTGCTCCTTACGACCAGACGATATTTATGTATGACCCAACCATAAACAAATCCTATGGCATACAGACATATAAACTGATATCCATGGACGATTGCAATGTCTGATGATGACTAATCTGTAACACATCACAGAGAACATCCCATCGTTACTAATTATAACAACAAACAACTTCTACATTCTGAATTTTAGAGAACAGCGTCCCTGATAACAGATACCGCCAGTATCGTGTACACGTGTGTAATGGGAAACCGGAAGTGTCTTTACTCCGATTTAAGGGACGTAACTCTAAAAATCCAATATGGCAGCTTAATGTTGATACGTCTATACAGCCCTCTAATTTTATATATATAATGAGATAGTGATTTTTATCTGCTGATTTCATTATGTTCATAGAAAAGTATATATGTAACAGAAAAAATAAAAATTGATATATATGACTCTGATACAGCGATTTTTATTCGACGATTTCAACTTTTTTTCAAAGAAAAATAATAATAAACATAAAAATAAGAGTCGAATAGGTATGGAACTGCCAACGGAGGTTCGGAGCGGAAGTGGTGCATTCTGGAAAATTGCAACGGTAAGATGGGAACTGCGTGATACTTTCACAATTACAAATTTGACGTTAGTGCAGGTTTTCATATTGCTTTTCAAGATTTGATACCCCGATTTATTGAATATAAATCATTACGTATCCAAGACATGAATAATTTGTATACCTAACTCATAACTTGAAAGAAATGGGTTGATGAATCTTAATCGCATAATCAAATGCATGTACAAAATAAGAGATGAAGTGAACATATTGAAGCCAGCCAAAGGTTGGTTAAAATTAGCGAGCTAATCGGTGTGTGATTACAAATGTGTTACACAGGTTCAAAAATGGCGGAGTTTGACGCAAACTTTTCAATGTAGAATGATTACGATAGGCAGGGACGAGCAACATAGTAATCTGTAGATATGAACTAGTAAACAGATAAGTTTGTTTCCTACCTAAGGCTTATCGTTGCGAAGCTAAAGTGTTGACGTGCCGTATTTTTTAAGCTGTTTTGCGTGTTATTCGCTGGACATATTTGTCCGACTACGCAACTGAAGTCTAACTAACCAATTTTCGATATTTCATGAAGCCTGGTTGCAGTTCTACTGCATGATATATATGGAATTATATACAAACTAGAAATATGTCAAAATGACCTGAAAGTCACCCCATTTCCTGTATGATTATTTTCAGTATAATAAATCATTGACCAAGCTACAACCAACATATTTCCACCTGTCAATCAAAATGGTTTAACAATGACCTGGTTTGCACACTGTTTAGGTAACCATGCCAACCTACTAGGATATAATAAGAAAGCATGTGGTTGATAAACTTGAAGAAAATGTTCAATGTTATTTTTTTTTAGTTTTTAGTTCTGCGATATTCCCTTGCCTTCTGCATCCCAATGTCAAGGCCTTCCACATTCAAAATGCAAGGATGAGAAATTTCATCTGTTAAAATGAAAAAAAAATGATATAAGAGAACTGAACATGCACAAAAATTACTGGGAGTTCGTCCAGAAAACATCAGATTTAATCACTGATTAAAAAACATGCATAAATATGCAGCTTTGCTTAATACACATTTTATCTTGATCAAAATGAATCCATATTTGAAACAAGTCCACTGACATGAAGTTTAGAGATTAAACCAACTAATTGTAATGACTAATGTATCAGAAAACCAGTATATCGCAATACACAGGCCATATTGTACATGTATCTATCACAATGCGAAGCAGATAATAAAATATTGCTGAATCGCAACATGTTCTAACAGTCAAATAGATATGCTAATAACCATATTCCAGGCTATTACTAGCATACAATTCGATACAAATGTATCACCAAAATGATCTCGGATTTAATGACAGCATTTTGACACCCTTTAAGACCAATTATAAGAAAAAAANAAAGATTCCGTTAACGACAAAGATCTAGAGGAAATGGCCACGTCGCGGACATTGCGTTTACTTTGTACTCAATACTTGGTACCACGACGTGATCAACAATATACTGCAGGTGCGACACAAAACGGGCGAGTGTTATGATTCTCTTTCTTTAAACTTGGGACAAGAAATTAAGTGACAATTTTTTTGTTGTTGTAAAATTTGAACACCCAAAAACCACAGGTCTACCAATCGAGACTGGGAGATGTATTATACATAGTCGTGACTCAAAGACTATTCATAGTAAAACCTAACTTTATTGTTGGTACTTTTAACTGCCATTGCCTAATAAATGTAGCTAATCAAGACGTGTATATATTCCTTCGATTATACAATACACATGTATATATATGTTATGTTTTGAGGTGAAAGTGTTCCATATAATATGTCTAAAAACGCACTTTTTAATGTGAAGCCTAATAGATATTGTCCTTGATTTCCTTAATCCATCACATTTTACAAATAATAGACTTAAATTGTTGCAAACATTTATTAATTACGGGTTTAAAAATTTCCACATGAACGATATTTCTTTCTTCTGGTTACTTTACGTTGTCATTGATCGTCATTTAATCATTATTGCAATTGGCATAGGTAGTGATTCCTTATAAAGTGAAATGTAATAAATGCAGAAAATCTTGTATTATGGAAATTTCCAATCCACTTCCACCTTTTTTTTCAAACATTTTTTTTAAAATCTAAATATTTTTTTGTTATAATGATCTATTTATATACATCATGTTATCTACATGTACCTATATGTACAGTCCCATGCCAAATTAAAGTTCACAGTTATCTTTTTCCCTCTTAATTTCCTGCATTTCTTCATATATCAGTGAGTTTTCCTGATCTCATTTATAATGTTACTTATCGAGAGAAACATTTGAAACATGTAAGAGAGTTATCTGAATATTTCTTTCACAATACGGTTAGTTCTGTTCGTTGAGCGATTTTCAAGATGTGCCAATTTTTATTCAAAGGAAACTATACTTTTTTGCATAACGTCATTTTGTTCTTTATCTTACTAAAAGTTTATGGTAAAATATGTAATTCCCGAGATACACCTGTTGTATCTTGAAAACTGCGAAACTACAAATTATGAAAATATAACGAGAAAAAATAACCCCAGACTTTAAATGGATTTTAAAAGCCATGCAATCGTATGTACATGTAAAACAACGACCGTTCATAGAATTATACCATATGTATATATTTTTTATCTAAATCTGTTGGATATATCTACATACACATTTAAAGATTGCAAATACACCGCAGAACACCTTTGGTTTTGAAATACATCTTTTTTATGGTAGACATTATGTAGTAAATACCATGTGGTTAAATACATAGGGACCTGATAATTTGTAACCGCTATATTTGGACCTAAACTATTTATTCTGAACACCTTAGGTTAGGTCTAAATATAGCAGTAACACATTATCAGGTCCCTGTGGCATAATACTCCAATCAAGTCATTCCTTTGCCCCACTTTTATCAATAATTGAAATCATGTTTCACAAGGAAATTATTTTTACGTATGTAAGTTAAGACTTTGTTTGTTCAACTGGTACTGTATATACTTTGGTATAAAATAGCATATATTAAAACTACTTGGTTCAAAACCTTAAATGCTTTCATTGACGATTAGTCGCTGTCTGGTGCATTTAATTAAGTCCCGCAATGTATTTAGTATTACTGATCATGGTCAGTAGGCTCTTCTAACGATCAGACGACGTTCTTGAGAAATTACATTACGAGGTATTTGCATCGTTTTTGTTATTTATCATAATGAAATATATACGGTTATGTGTAAATTATGGAAACAAATTACTGATTGTACCCAGAATTGCATGTCAACACATTCAAATATTGTTATTTTACCGAAATATTGTCTATATTGTAACATCATCTCGGAGCATAAGGTGGCAGTACCCAAATCGGATCGGTACCCAAATCGGATCACTTTTTGCAAAACTACTTATAAAAAAATAAATGTGTCGACAAATCAGTTATAACAATGATGCAGTCTTAGAATAGATAGCCATGCACCATTTTATGACTACAGATAAGTTCAAATAGCGCAAGAAAACGTAATTCAAACTCAAATGTCAATGTTATGATTACGTTTTTAAAAAATGGCACGTGCGACGACTATGCACTCTGTTTTGGAAGCAATTCACACTATAGAAATCCTTTTTGTCATACACATTCTAAAGGATATCATAAAATGTTAATATGCTGACAAAAAAATATTCATTTGAAGCGTACGATACTGCAAAATTCAAGCCGTGATCCGATTTGGGTCCCGACATTCTCAAAAAACCGGGGCCGCTGATTGGTGACTTCAGAGCGTTCTATAAATATCTCAAGTGAGCCCCGGGTGCTAATTTCGTTTGTGAGAACACCCATCGATATTCTTTATTTGATACAACCATAAATGAATATAATTCGTCCTCAGATTTTTCAATGATTTAATAAAATGATCGTTTGGTGATCCGATTTGGGTACTGTCACCTGCCCAAAGTCGGTCCGACTTGGACACAAACAAGCCACGATATATCGTCTTACAAAAAGTAAAATAACATGAAAATACATCATTTGAAATATCACATGCTCAGTTTTTCATGTAAAGTCCTTTGGTTGGAAACTATAACGCATCGATTATTTATATTTCAAATCGCACTCGGATTCAGGGCTTAAATTAAAACGACTGTATTTTCAACAAATGGCAAATAAATTGTCAATAATATGGTTTACCTGCATAATTGTCTAGTAAAGATTGTGTGTGTCTCCAACACTTTGGATGATTGTGACAAATCAATGTTGTAAACATATTTTCTTGTCATTATAAGTGTTCGCCAAGCCTGCCAATTTATTGCAAACAGTTTCGTTCCGGAGCTTGAGTTCGAACTTAAGTCTGCTCTTGGGCAGTCTCAGCTTTTTGAGCTCAGCTTGAGGCGTTGAGCTGAGTTTTTAGTTTGTGATAACGAAATACGGATGCTGAGCTTGAGTTCTTGAGTTCGGACTCAAATCTCAGCTTAAGTACGTTTGTGATACCGAAGCCTGTAGTTCGATTAGAAGTTTCGCCGGACTGCAGAGAAATGCAAAGCAATACAAAATGTTATTTGTGTCTGCCAAATTGCGCGTATGTTTGAATGTAGTGTGCCGATGGCAAGCACACCTGGCATGTCAAATCAAGTTTGCCCTTTTGCTAGGTGATGTTTTTTTTGTTTTTTTTTTACAAAATTTACAAAATTTACATTGGTTGGTCAGACATAAAAATCTCAATCAATCACTAGCAATATAAATAACAGTCTACCCCTTCGGAAACCTCAAAGGTCACTGATTCATATTCGGAACATCTTCAGTTTGAAATTCAGAACGCCTTTTGGTTGTATGTTAGATCTGTTCCTAAATCGATAACCAAAAGCTTGTAGTTAGCGACAGAAGCAAACACACGAAAGCTGAAAACAGTAGTCGGCAAGAAAGGTCAAAATCTGGGACTGAAACCAAAATTAATAGTCACTGCTGGGGTTCCCCTTAGGGATGACTTCAAAAATTTCTATTTGTTGATTTAGACCATTCACAGCTTCATTTCTTGAACAGTTCGTTGCCAATCACATTTTTTCCGAGATTGGGTCGTTCCACTGACCCTGAGTATATTGACAGACGAGGCAAGCACCTGTGTGGCGAAACACCCCACTCCCCCACACCACAATCATTGCAGTCTACGTGTGATCATGTGACCAGCCTTTTTTTTAGCACATCACCACCTATCAAATGGTTATCACATCTTAAGCATTTTTTATTGTATGTCAGTATGTTTTTGATAAGTGACTTAAAGGCAGTTTGACATCAGATTTTAATATTGGTGACTGTTAAGGCCCATGGGCCTCTTGTTAAGATTTTGTTTCCTTATATTTTACTAATAGTTTATATAATAATCGGACCTTAAATGTGAACCCATAG